AAAAATTCACTTCATGGACCCTTAAAGTTTGTATGCGGAATGCATCTGGCGTGTGCATGTATACACTTTCTGACAAGTCCAAACATGTGTGATTTTTATTTAGTATCAAATACACCTAGCATTAAAGGTATAGTCCATCATTTGTAATTTGTGCATTTTGTTCGTTTGAAGCAACAAACGTGCTCAAAATCTAAAGAAGGATATGAACAACTAACCTGATGAAGTTTCAGCTCAGCTTCAGCTGTACATTCCGAGAAAAACAGCATTCTAGGATCTTGATTTCAAATCTAAAGTTGCTGAATCGTGTTTGAATTGGGCCTGAATTCAGCGTCCGAGACACGTTCTGAATGAGCCGATTGCAGCTACGCGATGTCGCGCACTGATCCGACAAATTATAGCAACCGCGCGTGTGCGTCGTGCCAATGCTTGCGTGCGCTTCACTGCAAAACAAAACGAACCACTAATTGAAATTTCATACAGTGCGTCTTAAGAAGCACGTTGTAAGGGCCTTCTTTGTTGATTTCTCCAGAAAGAATAATTTCACAGGGAGTTTAGTCCCTACTATCTTTCAACCAAGTATGTTTTTCAACAAGAATTACACCAGTTACTTTTGGATAGCTGCAAATGATGGACTCCAGCTATAAATCATGTTTGTTTGTTGTTCCTTTTCAGGCGCAGCGCAGAACACCGAGTCTGCAGCCCCACACTGCTCCTACTAAGAAAATCCACAGAGGGACCCACTTCAAAGGCAAAAACTGCAGGGCCAGCAACAACGGGGGCTACAACCAAAGCACCAAAGGTTACAACAGCAACTGCAGCAACTGCAGTACCGACAACAGCAACACCTGCATCAACTGCAACTGCAACTGCGGCAACTGCAGGGCCAGCAACAACTGCTGGGACTGCCACTGCGCCAACTGCAGGGCCAGCAACAAATGCAAGCACCGCAGCACCCAAAACGACGGCAGCACCCACAAGCCCGACACCGGGCCCCACCACCGTGCCGCCCCCATTTTTTACCTATAACGTGACGAGCGCCGATGGGCAGGTGTGCTTTCTGGCCCAGTTTTATGCAGGGTTCTCAGGCACGTATGAGCTCAAGAACACATCCATGGTAAGAACTACAAGATCGCATGGCTTACATTGATTTCATTGATTTAATTTTATATTTTTTTTAAATATCTTCTTCTTTTTTTCAGGGGGTAGATTGTCAGTTAATTTGTATATATAAATACCTAAGACAGTTTACCCATTCCTATTGGTCAAGAGCCTGTCACGTGGCGGTCTTAAACGGATGATAAAGACCGGCTGGCTGGTCTGAAACACTTTGCCAGTGTCATATGAAATTTGGACTCCTATGAAATCTGGTCCCTTTTACCTAAATCTTTAAAAATGTATTGCTACATGCACCTGTGTATATTAAAATCTGCATAAAAGCTTTCCTTCACAATGGTGCCCATAATTGCACAATGGTGCAAATTTTCGTCATCCTCATTTTAAGACAGACCTTTACGAAGTAGTGTGTTTTATTTGCCTACTACAGATGAACTTTAACTTTGAGATGCCAGAGAACGCCAAAGTCGATGCCAAGAAGAGCAGGTGTGCTGGCCTTCACAAACCGCCATCATGTTCCTGACCTGGACCGAAGGTGCAGACAGCTTGGCTCTGGAATTCAGCATGGACAACGAAGCCCAAACCTTTCAGCTGAAATCTGCCAACGCTAGTCTGACGCATTCCCCTGCACACTTCCCTGATAGCAAAACTACAGGTAGCAAATCACTCTATGGTAGCATGTTCCCTGGGCCATTTCGAACATTTAATTTGAATAAACGTCTGATACGCTGACTTGCTCAAATGAATAGCACATTTTAAATTTGAATTTGCCAGACCAAAGATGCTGTTGCTTAATAACGTGATTCGGTGCAAGCCTTATGCTAGCTAAGCAACCCCCAGCTCTGGAATGGTCTGGTGTCTTTGTGCCATTCTCACCTATTGTCAGAGTTGTAATGACTCGAGTCAATGACTCGACTCGAGTCCGACTCGAGTCAAAATTTTTGGTGACTCGACTCGACTTGAGTCCCTTTGAGTAAATGACTCGACTCGACTCGAGTCACTGCAAGCAAATGACTCGACTTGAGTCCCTCATCAAAAGACTCGACTCCGATGCAAAGCCTTACTTACTTGTCAGATGACCGCAATTTCTTTGGCATTTTGTAAGAGTGTGTGGCAGCTTTCTCGTGTAGTGTGAAAATACCGCACAAAGTAACAGCTAACTCCAACCTGCATGACGTTGTTTCCCATCTCATCATAATCAGGGGCAGTCAAGTACGGCGGTGTCACCATGGGAGACTTCTTCAAGGCTGATTTTGGATACAGCTTCAAGTGTGCGTCCACCGAGCAGATTGCTTACAAGGCCAACGACTTTAAGTTTACCTTCTCCCAGCTGAAAGTGCAGCCGTATGAAGTGGACAAAACATTCGGCCAAGGTAAACAGGTGTCGCAAATCTTGATAATTGAGCGTTAATTGGTTGCGTTCCTGTCCGGTTCAAAGATTGCAAGTAGATTGTGTTAGCTTTAACAGGGAATATACAACATTGCAAACATCAATATTATAAAATACCTTACTGGACTGTTAGTGAATGACAGTCTAAAACATCCTGTGAAATCATGGCACCTGGTGTGCTGACATTTTCAAAAAAAAGTGGAATTTTGTATTAATTTTGTATTAATGGTCGGCTGACTAGTGTTGGATTTTTTTTTTCAATACTGGCCCCAATTTACCATATTTAGTTAGTCCGCATTTTTTGGGTACACCTGTAAATGGGTACAAGCCAACTAGACAGCATGACCTTACTATTTTCCGACGTCTATACATTGCTCTGTTTCATCTTAAGTGGGTCCCGGGAATCAAGCGTCTATGAACACAAAATTTCAAACAAGTCAGTGTAACAATATTTTGTATAAGCTACTGACCCCCTATATCCAATCACTTCTGAAAATTACGGCAAAAGCAAACGTTGTGTATCGTCTGTAAGATTCTCCTGTTCTTGCCGTTTCAGAGAGCCCTTGCGTAGCAGACGGAGCCCACTGGTCCCTGAAAGAGATGGGTAACTTTTGCCTGCTGGCAGATTTCCAACTGACCTTCACCGGGGAATACACAAAAAACAACTCGAAAATGGTGAGCAGCAAGGTGCACCCAACCACAGAAATAAGATCAAATAATGCTTCGTGATAGACAAGGGGCGGTTTGAATTATTTCCTCCTATGCTAGATCTGTGTCATGTTGAAGTACAAGGAGAAGTTGATTCCAATCTTGCAAGTGCCCAGGAATGTGTGTTACATGTGTCTTTCTTGGATTGTTTTCGCGTCGTGCAATCCATTTTAATATTTTTTTTTTTAGTAAAGACTTTTATATCTGTGCTCAAACAAATCATGTGAGATAATGGATACAAAAAAAATGTTACAGATAATCCATCTGGTCTTCCTTGTTTGTGTTTTACCCATCTTCCCCATCTTTCATCCCTTTCCACCTCCATACTGTCCCCCCCCCCCCCCCCCCCCCCGCATCATCCCTTCACTCCCACACTCTTTTGTCCGTTCCCACTCCCTGTGACCTTTGATCCTTCCCTTTCTGGTCCCTCCCCTGTTCACACCAGACCCCTTGTGGTTTGCCATCTCCCTTTGTTTCTTTGTTCTCTCATCCACCCTCCCCTGCATCTTTCTACACCTTTCCCACTTAATCCTCCTTTTGTGTTTCTTCTTTCAGCCCTGCATGTTTGTGTGCACCCCCATGTTCATGTATGTACCTCTGTCATTTCTGTTTTAGCCTCTGAAGAAGAACTTGCTAAGTTCGCAACGTCAGGCCACATTAATTTTAAGATTTACAAAAAAAATGTGTTTGCAGGTAACATAAAACCTCATTGTTGTTTGTGTTTTGTTTTGTTCAATTTTTCAGGGTACGTTTACCGTCATGCTCCCCGCAGATGCCCGTATCGACCTGGCCAACAGTCATTGTGAGGATAGCAACGCCCCTATGGCCCAGGCTGTCTTGGCACTGACCTTCGATCAAAACTCCTTCATGCAGGTGTACCAAGTCGACAACAAGACGAAAACCTTCTCCCTTGTCAACGCCACGGCTAAGCTGATGCACGATAAAACCCACTTCCCGGATAGCAAGGACGCTGGTAGGTTCTGGGCATGCTCGGTTAAAGCCAGTGCATCTTTTTTTTTTAGCGCAGCGAGTCCTCGGATAATGTATAACATCACCATGGGTGTCGCGAGGAGGGGGGCAAGGGGGCGCTTGCCCCCCTGGAAAAGCGAAAAAAGAAGAAATAAAGGGGACGAAAATAAAACTAAAAGAGGCGAAGTCATTTTGCTGTTAATTTATTGGGTGGGGGGCAAATGCCCTGCCCACCATTGAAAAATGATAACTTGAGAATATGCTGGAAAAGTACAGGGATTTCGTGGGGCAAATGTGCTTTGTCCCCCCTCTAGAAAAAACACCCATGAACGTCATATTGAAACCACAGTTTTTTTTCTTTGCACAATTTTTTGTCACCTTCAGTGTCGAGTAGTATGAACACAACCTTTAGTTTGCTTCTTCAAAGAAATCAGTGTCCTTAACCTTTTTTTCTGTTTTTGGTATTATTTTTATGGCAGCACCAAAATTCAAAGCTGTGTTGCATTTCGTTGCAGAAATTCTCTGTTACTTAAACTGTAATCTGTCACTGTCGTCCATCACTAAAAAAAATTTTCGCCCGTTTTTTTTTTCTTCAGGTAAGATCGTTACTTACGGCGGTGCGCTCACGGATCAGTTCCAGACTGGTCTAGGGGATTACTACAAGTGCTCGGCCATGCAGAAAGTAGAATTCAAGGAGAACAAGTTTGCTCTGAGCTACACCGACTTGAAGATCCAACCGTTTGATGTGCACATGACCTTCGGAAACTGTAAGAAGACGCTCTTGACTTTGTACCTTTTTGTCGCAAAACTCTGGCTGGATGGTATGGACTGTGCAGAAGCTGTCCATGTGGCTGTGACAATAACTGGAACACATATGTGTCTTGTTTTGTTATTCGAAATTTCATCCAGTTTTCCTGCAAATTTGCATCATCTATCAAATAATCTAATCCATGCCAAACCAGGTGTTTTTTGCTGCACTCGGTGAAATGAAAAGTGCTAAGAAACGCAGTCAAGATGTGTCAGACTATATTTCTCGTTATAATTATTTCTTTTATCAGACTCATTTCATTGCTTAAAGGGAATATACAACATTTGCAAACATCGAAAAATAAACCTACCAAGTTTTTACGAAATACCTTACAAGGATGTTGGTAAATGACAGTCTAAAGCATCCTGTAAAATTATGGCACCTGGTGTCAAGTCATTTTCAAGAAAATGGTATTTTTGTATACATTTTCAACGATGGTCGGCCGACCACCGTTGGAAAAACCTAACTATTTTTCAACTACAGCTCCAAATTTACAATTTTTTTTCAGTCCAAATTTTGTTTGCTATTGGTTACATGTTCTTGAACTGGTGCAGGCCAGCTGGACTGGTTCCCTTACCTTACAATTTTCCGACATCTATAAATTGATCCATTTTATCTTTAGTGGAGTCAGGGAACCAGACTACTTAAACATTTTTGTTTTTCTTGGTTTTTCAAGCATTTTCGAACACAAAACTTCAAACATGTCAGTTAAACAATATTTGATCTATTATACTAACCCCTCAAATAGTTCATTTTTGAAAATTACAGCAAAAGCCAGTGATGTACATTCCCTTTAAAGACCATAAGGTGAAATTAAAAAAAAACGCCTCCTGTCGTGTGACCAAGCTTGGTCACGCGAGGGCCTCAACACCACCAGTTGATAAAGACACCGTGATGGTGTCACAAGCTCCCGATACGAACCCTGTAACCAAAGTCCCAAAAAGGTATCTTTTATTTAATTGATATAAAAATGGGACAGGAAACGAACTTTCATGCTCGATAAAAAAAACCCGTATTTTGTCAAGCCAGTCAGTACCTGGTTGGGTGTGCAGTGTAACCAACTGTACGCCCTTCTCATCAAAAGGAATGTTTGGAATTGTAACATTTTTTTCCCCCGTACCTTTTTTTGGTTATCCCAGTGAGCCAGTGCGGTCAGGACACGCCAACTGCAAAGCCCCCCACGGTCCCTATGGGTAACTGGACTATCACCAGAGACAACAAGACGTGCATGATGATGCAGTTTCAAGCTCAGTTCATCATCTCCTACCAAAAGGAAGTCGGGGGTGTAAGTTGGTTTTTTTAGTCCATTAATCATTCGAAATCCTTGAGGGTTGGGATTAAATCTCTCCCTTGGAGCAGTGCTCTCATTGAAAACTGTTTTGCTTCAAAATCTTAGCTTCTTTCCCAGCACTATCTTCGTCTCAGGCTCTTGGATAAGTAAGAAGCCTTGACTGTCCAAACCAAACAGAGATGTCCTAGGATTACATGGCGATATTCCAGGATAGGATTTTTCTTATTGAGAGAGAGAGAGTCCCAAAAGTCAGATACTTTTAATCGTCCGTAGCCAGAGCTGTTGATGAAGACTAGATTTGTAAAGGTCTTCATCAACTCTAACTCCCTAGGGTGTGTGGAAATTCATATTAAAGTTAAGGCTTCAGCATTGTTAGGGTCGAGAAAGTAATGGCTCCCTGCAGGGGTGTCCATCGGAACGGGGTACCCGAGTACCCGACCGCTGATGCCAGGAATCGGTTCCAGATTTGGGAATCGGGTCCCCGTAACCAACTTTAAAATTCACTTTAGTAACTTCTCAGACAATGAAAAAGAAAGGTTTTGAATGTCATTTGTGGGGAATTTGACGCTCTCAGACAATGAAAAAGAAAGGTTTGAATGTCATTTGTGGAGAATTTTTAAAGTGAAAACCAGGCCGCACAGACAATCAAAATATGTTTTTGTGTATTTAACCGCGATAAAGATGATGCTCGCAGAAGTTGCAGTTTACACCGTCAAGCTCTAAAGCCTCCAGACAACTTCCGGGATCTGAATGTTGGGGTTGGGTCCTTTTCGGGTATCCGGGTACCCGGATACCCGTGTTTTACTCCAGTGGGGTACCCGGTTAAACTCCCACGCAATTTCGGAAACTCCGATCCCATGATTGGTAGTCAGGCTGTTGTTGATGCTAGGCATTCACTGCATTCTTCCTCTATGGATTAAAAAATCAGCGATCGGCCGACACGCCAGAGGTTCTTGCCTTAATGAACTCCGATATGAGGTCAACTTAAATTCAGATGTGCACACTTTGTTATGTTGATGGCGTGTGATGTGTACACCTTCTTGTTTGTCTGATCGGCTGAAAGAAATCTTGTGCGTAGGGTTGCGTAGTTTGTGTGTAAGCCACTTGTATTCGGAGCTGTGTGACAAAATTATTACGAAGTGCCAGTGTCAAATTCTGCCAGGTTTTGGAAAAAATACACACTTGTGCAAGATCCTTGGGGTTAGGGTAAATGTATACTAACGTAAAACTTTTTTGTTAAATTTCTATCAGAAAACTGAGATGAGCAAAGTGGGTTACTACCTTCCCAACACCACCCTAGACACCGCTGAGTCCACCTGCGGCGACACTGTGGCCATGTTTGTCGGCGCCTTCTCCCCTGAAAACCTGAAGCCCATCAAAGACTGGGTCATGACTCTGGAATTCACCATGAAGAAAGACAAGAGCTACTCAATGACAAACTTCAGCCTGGAGTTCATGATGGATGACGCCTACTTCCCGGGCCTCAACAAATCAATGGGTAAGGGCTTCCTGACGTCAGAGGTTCTCACCAATTTTCAGAAATAATTTTAGGCACAGTTTAACCCTAACTCCCCGGGCCTTTTTGCTAGGATGTAGCCCCTCAATCCTGCAAAATCGTCCAATTGGCCTCGTGGAAAACTAGCATATAGCCTCAATCCTGCAAATTCCTCCATTATTTCTTGGATATGGTCCGTGGAGCGGTGACCACTGCCTGAATCCTGCAAAATCCTGCGGCAGTGACTGTCAATATGTTGAGGCTTGGCCAGTGACATCCTGGAGCTGTGCGGAGGATTTCAAGCATAATCCTGGCCTATATTTATGCATGGCTGAGCAAAAACAACACAAGGTCCGACCCAAGACCTTGACAAAGTGCATCCTACAAAATCAGCAACAGACTTTTGCCATGTAACCTCAATCCTCCAAATTCCACTTTGGCAAAGAGGATTTTGAAGGATTCAGGGCGGTTAGGGTTAAAAATTTGTTTGTATTGTTTCAATAGCAGTTTTCAGATTTGCTCAGCTAATCGTTCGTGCAGCACATTGTCTAACTCTGCTATTTTGTTCCTTGTTATTTTTTTACCAAACTCAGCCAAGATGGTGACCGTCTTCAACAACACGACGCGCTTTGATTCCACAGCTGGCAATTACTACATGTGTAACGCAAACCAGGACATCATGGCCATGAACGTCAACGCAACCTTCATGAAGCTCAAGCTGCAGCCCTTCGCTGAGCAGGTCAAGGGCGGAGGCCTCGGAAGTCGTAAGTTGAAAGAAAATAAAATAATTTCTTCAAAGTTTACCACAGAAATTGACTGGAGCGGGGTTTTGCACCTGTGGCCTCCGGATTGCCGTTCCAGTGCTCTTCCAACTGAGATATCCAGCCCTATCGTGGTGGTTCCACTAGTCAGTTTCTGGTTGTGGTTTATTTGAAAAGTGGAAAGTAACATATTAAAGGGAATTATTCCTGCAGTACTTTTGTTTGCATCCTGAGGGAGGGGCTTGTAAAAACTGGGAGGGGCTTATAGAAATTGGGTAGGGGCCAATACACTGTTTGAGGCGGCACTATCACATCCTCGGGGGCATCACAGGGCCCTGGTGAGGTGCGACGCTCTCAAAGGGCTCAAACCCTACTATGCTTCTCACTCTAAGAGGGGGGCATGCATGCAAAATGAGGCAGCCCCGCACAAACTCTCCAACAAGTCTGTGCAACCGACTGTGTACAGAAACCAAACTTTTCGGCCATGGCACGGCTATGAGAATTGGAAGTTTTCCGATACGCAAGTATCCTGAGAATCGCAAGAATGCAGTTAACCAAACTAATGAATGAAAACAGAGCGGGCTGTTGCAGATATGACAATAAACGCCTCCCACCTCTAGTTAGTGTACATTTCTCTTGGTGCTTATGAGCAAGTTTGAACAAGCTACTGTGGTCACCCAACGAAAAAATGATGGTCCGAGCGGTCCAAGCCTACTGTGTGATCGATAGACAAGGATCACATGCACCAAAGTAATCGCAAAACAGTGGCTCCCGAGGTTTTTGTGTACAAAATGTGCTAGATATTGTTGTTGAAAAAAATGTCAACAGAAGAGTGACAAGTGGCCATTATTTCCCCAAAGAGTGGTAGGGGAAAGCCATCCATTGCTGTAGGGAGTAAACTCAAAAACGGTGTAATTACATAATTCAATAGTCGGCACATGTGTTTAAGGTCGTCTTTCAGTAACAACCAGGGCGTGCAGGGTGAAGTTCCGAAGGGCGCTGTTTATTGAAAAGTGAGTCCCGGAGCACTGGCAGCTTAAAATCGCTGTACAGAATGATCGCTATTACGAAAAATTTCTGTGGATCCTGCTATGTTCATTTTAGCAGCGTTCCACTGTACTAGCCTGCAGTTTTGAGGCACTTGTAGTGCAGCATGTTGGACTTTAAGTCCCACTATATTTCCTTGTTTTTTCTCGCCAGCCTCTGACTGCGCTGCAGACAATGACGTCAGTAACATCGTGCCGATCGCCGTGGGTTGCGCCCTGGCCGGCCTGGTCATCATCGTCCTGATTGCCTATCTGATTGGACGAAGCCGCTCCAACCGATCTGGGTACCAGTCGGTCTGAGAACATGCCACACAAGTCCGCTAAATGATGCTCTGTATTGAAAACACAGGTAGATCTTTGGGCAGGGTACCAGGGAAGGTCACTGGTAAGTGAGGGTTTTCACCATTGGTTTTGCAGGACCTTCCCGGTACTCTGTCACTATGAAAGTAATTGACCTATCGCGGTAGAATCGCGTCAACGCGCCTTGTGAAATATTGTCCAATTATATACAAATGGACGCGGAGACAAACAAAACTTACCGTACAAAAATTCCATAGGGTTGTTTAAGGGGCAGGCTAACTTGCAAACGTCGATTGGTCAATTGGCTGGGTCTGAATCTTTTTTCCAGAGTTATGATCTAGGTTTTGGTCCATTACAACTACATGGGAACAAGCTGACAATAGACATTATTCTGAAAGCCGTTTCAGACACTGCTTGCTACCGTCGCCTCATTGAGATATTTTCAGTACAGAGCACATTTAAGCCCCCAATCTCTGCTTAGCTCTGTTCAAACTGAGGATCTAATGCCATGATTATGCAAATTTATGCGGATTTAAGTAGAGATTGGCGGGGATTTAGTGGGGTTTTTTTGGGGGGGGGATCTTTTTGTTTCAAGAGCTGAATAACATAATTGTTATAGCTTGACTAACGTAAAGTTAACTACTTTTTATTTGAAAAATATGCGTCACTTTTCTCGAATATGATTAGGGTTAATTATGCGTCTTAGTTCATGGCTACAGAAACTAACCTATTAACAAGATTTCTTTGATTCCAATTTCATTTTTTTTTTATATGTAAATCTTGTTTACAAATAGCACTTTTGTGAAATGCATTCGACTGGATTTTAATGCTCTCCTTGAACCAACTGTAAAACATACTTTATAATTAGCATGAATGTTGGTTCTGTGTATCAGTTTTTGATGATGAAATCAAATCAAATGCTGAACATGGAAAAAAGAAACAACATACTTAAATGTGTTCAGTTTATATATATATATTTACATTTTGATGTGATTTTGTGTTTATTTACTTACACAGTAAGAATTTACAAAAAAAAATTAAAATATTTTTGTAATGTTTTGAGGGAAATTTCTTTTTGGGATAAGCAAAGAAACTAGAATTTCTCGCTCTGATTCTGTAAATGTTCTAATTTTTATAAAATATGTACACAGATGATTTTTATGTTATCCCTTTTACTTTAGCTCTTAGTATGTAGTTCTCCTTTCAGTAGATGTAACAGTCGCCCATAGACTTATTTTAGTCATGAATATTATAAAAGGAAAAAAAATGCAAGGAAACGACGTTAGCATAAAGAAAAGCAAGAATCTAAAATAAGGATGTTTCGTAATGTTTAGACTGATTTGTGATTTTGTTTTTTTGAGGGTGAAATAAAATAATTAATTTAGATGGAAAACAGTTCTACAGTATTTTAACTTGCATGGTGTTACAAAATTTGAAAGTCCAAGTACATGTGCTTGGTTTGTTTTTTCTATTATTTAGTTAATTTACTCCTTTTCCTTCACATGTAATTCTAGGCAAAAATGACATAACGGTTAAATCCTTACTACATGAGAAAGTCAAATGACCCTCCATAGCTACCACTGGGCGAGTAACTGAATAACTTGAGTACTCGTGAGAAGTTATGCTACTCATTGTTCTACTTGTGGTTTTTCATCTACTCAAGTACTCATCCTGGCACAAGTAGAAGCACGAGTAACTGGATTACTCGAGTACTCGTGAGTAGTTATGCTACTCATTGTTCTACTTGTGGGTTTTCATCTACTCAAGTACTCGTCCTGGCACGAGTAGAAGCACGAGTAACTGGATTACTCGAGTACTCGTGAGTAGTTATGCTACTCATTGTTCTACTTGTGGGTTTTCATCTACTCAAGAACTCGTCCTGGCGCGAGTAGAAGCAGCTACTCGCGAGTAGTAATTTAGGGTTTAGGGTTCAGGACTTAATACGTCCCCTGCAAACAGGGAATCACTCCTCCACCTCTCTCTCCTGTCATGGAAATTCAGTTAACTAGTTGCGAATACTTAACTACTGGCGACTTGCCCTGGCCTGTCCATAACCCTAGACGTATTTAAACTTCTGCATTGTGGTCCACTCAAAACATTTATAAAGATGAAAAGATACATATTTGAGATCATTGTCTGTAGAATAAAACTTGAGAGTTTGATTCCCTGGAAATGTTCATGAGTTGAATGTATTTAAGTAATAAAAAGAATAGGGGGAAAAACTAACAAAATGATTTTTCTTCTTGATTGATTGATTTTTCTTGTATATGAAGGATTTTGCCCAATGTTGCAGATACATTAAAGGAAGTTAAAATGCTAGAAATGTACATATGAGGATTTGAGGTTTAATACATTAAATACAAATCTTAAGCTTACTAATTCCACACAGAAGCTTACTAATCCCAATCCAACGAGGCAGACATACTTCTGAGGAAAAAATAAAAGTAATTTCTGATTTGCAGCTATTTTTAATCTTGCTTTAGATTTTATATATGATAGATGCAAAATATGAACACAGAATGTACGTATTGTTCTAATCTGTGGCTAATGAGATGAGTAAAGACTAGATGCATATTTAAAGGGAAAATACAACATTTGCAAACATCAAAAAATAAAACTACCAAATCATTTTGAAACACCTTGCTGGACTGTTAGTGAATGACAGTGTAAAGCATCCTGTAAAGTCATGGCACCTGGTATACTGTCATTTTCAAGAAAAGTGGTATTTTTTTATCAATTTCCAATGCTGGTCGGCCGACAAGCGTTGGAAAAAACTGGCTTTTTTTTCAAATACTGCCCCCAATTGACCATCGCACTTGTTTGCAATCAATTACACACCTATGAACGGGTACAAGCCAGCTAGACTGGTTCCCTGACCTTACAATTCTCCAATGTATGTAAACTGCTCTGTTTCTTCTTGTATGGAGTCAGGGAACCAGACTACAGGAAAATGATTGTTTTTCTTGGTTTTTATAGCATTTTCGAACCCAAAACCTCAAAAAAGTCAGTGTAACTATATTTGCTATTTATTTCCAACCCCCCAATTCCATCCATTTCTGAAAATTACAGCAAAAGCAAATGATGTATATTCCCTTTAAACTGAGGATGTACTGTAAGGGGTAAAATTGAAATACGTGTGTATGCTAGGGCCGAGAATTCTTCTCTTTATTACAAGTATCTAAATTGGTGATGGGTATTGTTGGCATTCTTTGTGATTCATTAGTCATGCTTCAATTTGAAATTGTTCAAAAGCTGGTAAGTCATAGGACTAACGGTAATACTGATAATTCCATCAATTATAATTATCCAAATGCAACAGTCTTTTGTTCTGTAACCGTGGTAACACTTGCCTCTTTCAAGATGAAAAAAAAAGAAAAAAAGTCTGTTTGAAAAGTTTGAATGTGTTTTGCGGCTTTTGGAATTTTTCTGTGTTGATTATTCGTTTTGACATTTGATTTTCACATAGTGCCCTGAACAGTTGAGTAATGCAAAGGTATCATATTAAATTGAACATTTTTTTTTCTGCGTTAATGAAAGCTGTAATTATTTGCTCTGAAATCACAGTGAGTACTCGGACGGATTTTATACCGCTTGTATTATAAAGAAATAGCTGCTAGGTTTTGATGAAGAGTGATTTGCCTTCTCCCAGTCTGGGGTATGATGTGTTTTATGTTAGCCCACTTATGTATTATAATTACTCCATCAACTACAATTCAAAGACACTGGTGAGGTGATGTCATGTTCATGTGCAGGTTGTACATTTAATTGATTGGTCCGATCTTTGCAACTTCCAGCAAGTTCACGTGTCTTAAATTTAAGGCTGTGTGTGTGATCATCTTGGAAATCATCTTGGAAATCTCTTCTACTTGTGGTTGTCTGATTAAGCTGAAATTTTCCAGAAATTTGATGCGTTTATTACGCAGAATGGTCTTTCTAAGCAAAGCAATAAAATAGACAGAGGTACAGCACCGTACTCAACTTAACGTATACATTATAGATGAAAGAAATCAAAACCTAAAACAGAACTCCTAGAAAAACACTCAATGCACATCAGAAAAGCCGAATATTGCTGTTTCACTCGGAGGAGTCTGGATAAATTATTTCATCTTTAGAGGAGTGTATTATATCGTTCGCTGTAATGTCTGCTTATGCATTAAAACGTTATCTTATTGTATTGAGGTTCTATAGTGATCACTGTCTTAATGGCTTGAAAAGCATTTTCGGGAACTGTAATTGGTTGTGGAAATTTTTTTTTTTCAATAAATGTGAAAATTGGTAACAAAATATTTACTTGAATTGTGTTTGTTGTTCTTTCTGGGTTATATTTTGATGGAAATGTATGTAAGCTCTATGTGTTACCTATCACAGCAAACTTAATTTTCAGTTTCATTTTGTGTATATTGAAGGAATGTCGTGAATGTAGACACATCTAATGACAGACATAATTATAACAATTCTTCAAGCCAACTTGACGCACTAAAAGATTGAACACGCGCGCAGTACACAAACTTTTCAGCGGTTATTCTATTACACGTGCGTGTTTGTATGGAATGGCGCGATACGCAGAGTGAGGTTGTTGCCATGGATCGACCAATCAGGATCGAGGATTCAAATTTACTTGAAGATAAGACTTTTTTTAATCAAATTCTCCACTAAAGCTTGTACATTATCATACCAAAAAAAGTAACCATGATTTTCCAATACGTTTTATGTAAAATAAGATGATCATTTATTTGTTTCCATTACATTTTATTATTTACATCAGTATATCTTATTATACACAAGGAGATAAACAAAACTCAGAAGATTATTATTACATTTTAATATTAGATGCTCATTTATTTGTTGCCATTTCATTTAATTATATACATCAGTACGTCTTATTATACACAAGGAGATAAACAAAACTCAGAAGATTATTATTACATTTTATTATTTACATCAGTATGTCACATTATACAAAAGGAGATAAACAAAACTCAGAAATGAGAAGTATCAAACTACGGTAGAGACAAAATATACCACTTAATGGGCTCGAAAGTTACACAAACACTTTAACAAAAACAAAACTAGGTTTGTGTAGACGTATCGCTTGCAATTCCAAGCGAATACATCATGGAGTCAGTTTTTATTAGGACTTCCATTTATAAAATGCTTGAATGCAAAGTGAAAATTATTGTCAGAAATCTTTACTATTTTTTGATATGTCCGCACATTCCTCGTGACTAAATGTAGGAGTCTGCCCCCCCCAAAAAAATAACATTTTATGTACTTGTGTAAATTTCTTTTTACCTTGTGTCCCACAATTTTCACAGCTAGCTTACTACTGCAGTCAACAAACTAAAATATCACTCTTGAATTAAAAGAAAAATATTAATAATCCTTCAAAACCGTAAAAGGAATGTGGGCGCTGGTGTATGAAACAGAAAACAGTATTTCTCTTCACCCACTCACTGTACATGTAGATGCACAGGGAAATAAAATATAAAGGAAGTTGATTGTTCAGAACGAATCCAGCAATAGTGTTGGACCTATTGAACCATATTAATAGCTCTCAAGATAAGATGGGAAAACTTTATTGCACAAAAATGACATGCAGGTTACGCCTGAGGCTTTGTAAACAAATATGCTAAATCTGGATAAGGACGGCATCATGGATTTTATCTTCAACACTGATTGTGATGTTTTCAAAGGGGTAAACAATAGGAATTTAAGAATTTCGGTCCAGAATGCATCACGATATGAGACGGAGGGGTACCCCCCCCCCCAATCTCCATAAATACCCTAATCCTTATGCAAACCTTAAACTATTGTTACCTAACAACCCCCCCCCCCCCCCAATATCTCAAAAGAATTCCTGAGATTCTGGTAACACAATGACCAACACAAAGGAGGGGGTTCTCTGCCATACTAAAAAACACTTGAATTAAAAAAAGAAAAGAAAAAAGGAATTCATAGATTCAGAGGAAATTCGATCCTCATTTGCCCAAGGCAATGAGGAGTTTCCTCAATCTTTGAATTCCTTTTTATAATAAATTTCCTGATTTGAGCTTTTACATGTCAAAACAAAACAGCTGTAATATTTGGATACAGAATCATCATCCAAATATTACAGCTGTTTTGTTTTGACATGTAAATCTCAAATCAGGAAATTAATTTTGTTGTAACTGATCCAGTTTATCTACAGCTCTCTGTACATTATTTTGAGTTCCATTTTTCATGTACATCATCAAAACAATAGCTGTTCGCTTCAGAAAATGAAAATAACATAATGAATCGCATGAACTCTAACATCACAATACAATAAATTGACTTTTTTAGTTCAAAATAGATTATTGCGGTATCAACACGAGTGTCTACTGAAGGATATTGCACAAGGAATAATGAACGGTACACGGCATGTGACAATGCTTGACAATATGAGTCACGTCACATGACTTGTTTTTCTCCCGACGGCCCATCAGCAAATTTGCACATCGCTGCCGAGATTACACTCGAAAGCAGCACAATTGTTGGCAAAACCTTTCAAAGGTTGAAGTGCAACAACTTGTACTACTGATAGGCAGAGAAGTGTGCAACAACTTGACCTTGTTTGCAAGACCATGGCATCATGGTGTAATCATCACAGATTAGGGGCCAAAGGTCAAGTTCGTAATCAAAATAGCCACACAACTGTCTTGTGATTACGCATGTGGTTTCCATTTTGGTTTCAGTGGTTCAGTGTAAATAGTGGTTCAGGGAATATACAACATTTGCTTTTGCTTTCATTTTCAGAAATGGATGGATTTGGGGGTCGGTATTTTATAGCAAATATTGTTACGCTGACTTGTTGGAAGTTTTGGGTTCGTAGATACTGGAAACACCAAGAAATAACAATCATGTTCCTGTAGTCTGGTTCCCTGACCCCATTTAAGATGAAACGGAGCAATTTAAAGACGTCGGGGAATTGTGAGGTTAGGGAACCAGTCTAGCTGGCTTGTACCCAGTCATAGGTGTGAAATCGATTCCAAACAAAATGCAGACTAACTAAATATGGTAAATTGGGAGCAGCATTGGAGATTGATACACAAGTACAGCTTTTCTGGAAAATGATAGCACACCAGGTGCCATGATTTTACAGGATGCTTTAGACAGTCCAGTGAGGTATTTCATAATAATGTATATATTTTTTGATGTTTGCAAATGTTGTATATGTTCCCTTTAACAAACAAATCTGTGGCCATGTATGGCAAGCACTGAAGGATCCAAACTCAGGGGAAATAATGGCAGAAAAGCTTGCCACAGTACCATGTACTGATTTTCGTTTTTGAGTCATGCATCTTTCTGAAAAGAACATGGCCCATTTTTATGGCGCTGCTAACCACAGAATTCAGTGCTTACAATCACCACTTTGTGCTAACTGCGCTAGCACAAATAAACCGTGCTAAACCTGTAAGCACAAAACCTTAGTTACGGGATGTACACATGCTCAGAAGCAAAAATTCCTTGTTTACCCGTGAAATACGCTTACCGTAAGCACAGAATTTGCTGCTACAGTAAGCAAGGATTTTTCGCTATCGGTAAGCAGAGCCATGGTAATTGGGCCCTGGAAAACCGTGCTTGCTTCAGGCACAACATGAGCAAAGCACTGTTGAAAAAAAAAAATCATGTGTCCGACCTGCAGGGAGATTAATATAACTTTGTTTTTCAGGGACTTTGGGTTTTTTTATTGGGGGAGGGGGATTTGAAGTTTGCAGAGAATATTAGATAAAGGCACTTTGTGAATAAAATTGTCTCAAGCCTTGCCATCTTAGATCCTTCAGAATCCACCAGGTCCTGGAGGACCTTGCGGGAATAAGAAATGGTAGAGCTCTGCTATTATTAACTTACACAAGACTTAATACACACGAGGCAAGCTGTTCAACGTGGGCACAGGAGGTCAGCGCGACGGACCAACGCTGTCTTTACGGCTGAGTGAGTGAGTGAGCGATACATGTGTACCCCTTCGAAGTTCTATTACAAACAGATGTGCCATTGGGCTCCTGCACGCAAAGCCGTAGGTCCCATGTGTTGTATAAGGCCTAACGCACCTAAAAGAACCCAGTAACGCTTATTGCTAAGAGAAGGGGTTCGCCCCGGTGTTTCTGGCAGGAAGGATATGTATACCCTGCCCGTGTTACCCCTGAGAAGGGGTGTTGGTGCAGTATTCATCAAGGCAAGAGACAAGAACGGCCAAACTGGCAAGTTAGACAAGTTTGATGTCTCCGGTGCAGTATTTGCAGCAGTTGATGGTCAGGTTTTCATACTTGGTCTGTGGATGGAAGCGCTGTGCTACGTTAGTCTTTGCTACAGGTCCTGATGCTGCTGGCAATGATGGCGATGATGGGGGTATATATGTGGTTGATGCTGACGATGGTAACGTGTGCATTCGCTCAAGCTTCAGGGCTGGTTCTCGGTTTAACAGAATCTGAAACAAAACAAAATATTTAAGTAATTAATAAAAATAATAATAATAATAATAATAATTTGGGAGGCTAATCATCCTTACTCGCAGCTGGTATGCTGAATTGCGAAGGACGCGGCTACAACGTGGTTGGGCCGCTGGCACGTAAAGGCGCCTATGGCTGCCGGCCACATCGACCCATATATGACCAAGGAGCACAGCCTGAGATCGAAAGTGTTTGATTTTTCCGGAGGGAGGAAAACCGGAGGGCCCGGAGAAAAACCCTCGTGGCACAGGAGAGAACCAACGAAAACTCTACTCACATGTGATCCGCGGCCAGGATTTGAACCGTGGTCACCTTGGTGAGAGGCGAGCGCTTTACGCACAAGCCACCCATGCCACCCAATGGTTAACCTATTTATCTGCAAGAACATAGATTCTTCAGGTCGTGGCTAGGGGCAGTCCTCCAGCAGCATGGGCCTCTCTGATTCTCTCCCTCCAGTTGGATCGGTGCTCCATGCAGGAGCTCAGGTCGTCAGTCGTGGGGACTGCTGTGTCCCTCTTCAGGACGTTGGTGCAGGTCCTCCTCTTGCCTCTGGATGCCTCTCGCAGAAAATATCCCCAAACTAGAAAGCCTTGAAATGTATGTTACACTGGCTGTTCTGACTGAAAACAGCCTAGGAATACCAGGATGCTGACATATGAGAAGTCTGGTTTAGGCTAGCCAAAGGGGAAGGTAGTTACTGTCAAATGTTTGGTCAAGCTGCGTTATTTATTTTTTTGGACTCACATCTTTTGCAAGCATCTCTGCGGATGTCCACTCCACAAAGTCAAACTGTGAGGTGGTCTTGGGCTGCGAGTGGCCCACGTCCCCCAGCAGGTGCTTGGAGATCATGGAGGACACCTGTTCGTTGAGTAAGGCCAAGGTGAGGACGTTACTTGATGTCTTGGCTTCTTCTGAGAGACTGTGAGATCGCTGCAAGGCATTGGAGAGGTAGTGGAGCAACCTACGAGAGATTGTTGAAGGAGAAAGAGGGAAGCATTGGTTTACTGCACAGTAGCTGGGTTTTTGATATTCAGGGAGCCCTCTACCAAAAGATCCACCATTACGCCCTCAGATCTTTCGAATTCCACTAGAAGGTTTGAACAATTCAGCAGGCAGAGGCTTCAGTGTTAAACCAGTTTCACGGTCACAAAATGCCAGAACTGGTGAGTTCTATTTGTGCCAACCTTGCCATCTTTGTGTGGACCTTATAACAAAACAGGTCCACACGATGCTGGTTGTGTGAACCTTCTGTGGACCAAGCCAGGTCCACACAAGGTGTCCCCCTCTCTGGAAAACAGGTTTAGAGGCATGTTTTGGGTTAGGGTTATCTGTCACAAAATGAAGATGATCACTCAAGGAAATCATGATAAAAAAATTGGGTTGAAAGAGTATTGACACTGCGAGTGAAATAAGTTTTTTCTCGTTTTTTTTCTTAACTTCACAAAGACAAAGGAATGTCCACACTAGGTATGTATTAAGGGTAGGCCTGGTATGTGAGTTTGTTTCTGCATTCAATAGGGGACGTTGAACAATAGAGTCCTCAATCCCCGAAGGTCCTCAATTGACAAGTGTACAAAACATATGGGAGGTCTTCCTAAAAAGAGTACCAACAAAGAGGGACAATAGGACGTCCACGATCGATGGTGTGAACACGACAGTGTGAGTGCGTGTGTGAATTTTTACAGCACAATTACTGATGAAGGGTTACTTGCACTTTAGACAAACATGGTGAATGGTCAGTTAATGTCCACTGTCCCAATTGTGATTTCATCTGCAAAATGCAAATATCAACAGGATATGTCTGTTGATTTGTTCATGTTTTTTTTTTCTGGACTTGAACCAACCTTTGGGTGTGCATCATGTGCGATCTGATTTCGTCTCGTTCCTCCAGGATCTTACGGAGAGCAAAGCAGGCTTCTTGGAGGACCATGTCCAGACGGGTGCGTGAGGAAACAGCTTCATCCACCTGCAGTCTGTGAGGGTGTCAAGAAAGAAGATTTATTCTTTAAACTCCCTTCAGGGTAGTTTGCCTGGAACCTTGCCAAATGCAACAACCTGCAACAGTTGGAAGCCTGTCCAGTGTAAAAAAGATAACAACAGGTCAAAGATTCCAAGGCCCCAGAGTCTCGCTTTTCACACTAGAGCCTCTCAACCTGGAGTGCACTCAACCCTGGGTGGACTCAGTGCCACCCCGGGTTGAGTGTTTGATTTTTGAACACCGCGTTCAACCCCACACTTTTTTCATGCAAACTAAGCTTATTTCGCTCGGTCACTACTGTTTTGAACCCTGGTGCAAATCTCAACCCTGGTCTGGAGCAGAGTTGAGTTTAACCCGGGGAGAAATCAATCGCAGGGTTGACGCAGGGTTAAAGATATAGTCCATCATTTGTAATTTGTGCATTTTGTTCGTTTGAAGCAACAAAAGTGTTCAAAATCTAACGAAGGATACTGAACAACTAACCTGATGAACTTTCAGCTCAGCTTCAGCTGCATATTCCGAGAAAAACAGCATTCTAGGATCTCAATTTCACATCAAAAGTTGCTGAATCATGTTTTGAATTGGGCCTGAATTCAGCGTCCGAGACGCGTTCTCACTGAGCCGATTGCAGCTATACGCGATGTCGCGCACTGATCTGACGAATTATAGCAACCGCGCGCGCGTGTGCGTCGTGCGTCGTCGCCGAATAACAAAAAGAACTACTAATTTAAATTTTCCTACGGTGCGTCTTAAGACGCACCGTTGGAAAGGCCTTCTTTCGTTGATTACTTCAAAATGACAGCTTGCCAGAAAGAATAATTTCACAGGGAGTTTAGTCCCCTTACTATCTTTCAACCAAGTATGTTTTTCAACAATAATTACGCCAGTTACTTTTCGGATGTCTGCAAATGATAGACTCTAGCTTTAAACATTTTCAAGTGTGAAATGCCGCATGTTTTCAACCCTGCGTCAACCCAGTGTCATCACCGCGATTTGTGTACTGTGACAAGACTATAAGAGTCCATGGTGGCCGACTGCAACAGGACACAACAGGAACACTGTAATAATGGGACCAGCTCCCAATGTCTGAGATTGCATTGTACCTGCTGCCTAGGAATTTACTCCTCCACACATCACACTGGATGTTGACTCTCTCCAGCGTTTCGCGTTCCTCCGCTAGCGTCGCGATTGTGTTCTCCAGGTCTTGGCCGAGCTGAGCGCGCTCAGTGGACAGGTGCTCCAACTGGGCCTGTAGGTCCGCCCCCATTGACGCAACTAGAAGCTTTTTCAGGTCTTTATTGACCTGTGGAGTATTGGGTTTGCAATGATAACAAATGGTAGAGTAAGGAGCATGGAGGTACATGTGAACCATTGTAGTATACTGGTAAACACTATCCAACTCCAACAATGAATGGAAAATGCTAATACAAGAATATTGTACTTATGTTACTGCATTACTCTACTGTATCATGTGTTCTTTCTACACCAAGGGCAGATCCAGAACCAAATTTTTTTTTGGGGGGGGGGGGGGGAAGAGAAAGAGGGCTCGAGTATTTTTTTCCAAAAAGGGGAAAGGGATTAAGCCCCCTCCCTATGCAAACATGTATCCAAACATGTATCCTTTCAGTCAAAATCAATCAAGTGACTGTTTTTAACAGTTACATGTAAGAGCTGCCAACCAACATAAAGCAGGATTGACTGGCTGTGACTGTTTATGTAACTGGATACAGCTATGCGTTGACTGTAGGTGATTGATATGCCAGCTGTGCCCACCACTTACCTGTTTTTAGCCTGTTGAGTTAATTTGACTAGTCAGAGTGCTTGCTTGAAATATGACGTGACTGTTGGTGACTAGCCTATGTATGAAGGCATGGCAGGGGAAGAGGATTGATTTTTTGACTGTCTGTGACTGTTCAGATTATATTACACAGGCATGCAACTGGAAATTTAGAGAAAAAAAACGAGGAAACTCCAAACCACACCAGACTTTGTACAGTGTTTTTCAATTTGTAATGGCATTAACGAGAAGTAAAAAACAAAGAAATCAGCGGATCAGAGGAAAGTTGCATGCCTGATTACTGTACTATTCTACTGTATCATGTGTTCTTTCTACACCAAGGCTGGATCCAGAACCACGTTTTTTTTTTTGGGGGGGGGGGGAGAGGGGGAAAGAGGGCTCAAGTTCTTTTTTTCATAAAGGGGAAGGGGATTCAGTATATAATAAAAGTAATATTAAAACTACATGGTGTGTGTAGCTGATGGCTTGCGAGGGATTTACCCAACATTTCAATATATTTCCTGAAAATTTAAGACAAAAGATGTCTTCGCTCCTCTGATTGGGGGGGGGGGGGGGAGAGGGGTATGCCCCCCCCCCCCCCTCTGGATCTGCCAATGTTTTACACCCACCTGATTTTGAACGGCTGCTTCGGACACCATCTCTGCTTTCTCATCCTTTAACCCTCTCATCTCGACCTCCAACTTTGACAGTTGTTCCTTCAACTTCTCATTTTCTTTGATGGCTTCTTCCAGCTTGGCGCAGACATCCTGCCGTCCGTTTGCAAAGACTGAAGTGCCCCCGAGAGGTGATGGGCTTTGGGGCCTGACATCTCGCTGACGATTCCGTTCCACAAGGGCCACATCAGTGGAGTTGCGATTTTTACCGTCAAAGAAGGCTGGACGAGTGAGGCGGGGAGTCGCTGTTGCTATTCCAGCGGGTTCACTGGAGCTGGTGGCATTTTCTTTCCCATCTCCCTCCAGTCTGGGAAAAGCTGGGGATGTTCCATCTGGTATGAATAGGGAGGGGAAACAAAAATGAATTCAATAATAAAATAATTCAACAATCAATCAGTACGTTGAACTTTGTAGCATCATTGTGAGACTGAGGTGACTTACTTCTGTACTTAATTGTTGTAAATATTTGCAACAATAAAAAAAAAAATACGTAAACAATTTGAAATTTTAGTATTAAAGACAAATAGGCCTTCTACTAGGTGGACGCAACTTTGCGTGACCTCTGATCAACGAGAGGTGAAAATATTTCTCAGTCAGCAGTAGCAGCGTTCATCTCGCGAATGTTTTAACCACATGTTAAGATAGTGTGCCACCATAAGAAACTAGAAGAGGCATCCCCCTGCATGTCAATGAACTATGATGAATTGAAACAAGGCTACAAAGTTACGTTAGATGGACTGTTAATCCTACATATAATTGAGAAACAAACCACAGGTTCTTCAAAAAAAAAAAAAAATCTTCATGATTTTACTTGAAAGTTGAAATGAAAGTTCCAGTCTAGTAAAAAGTTTATAAATAATCAGACAACGACCTACTTTTATTATGCCTTTTATGTACACTGTCATGCATGTCATGTCTGTATGAAACTGAAACTGAAAGTGCATTTTAAATGAGACTTTGTTGGAAATAAAAGTCTGAAACCCGATGGAAAGAATTCCATACACGGCCTCCACTCATATTCCTTAATAAAGCCCTCTTGATAGGCTAATCAGAAAGTGCTGCCTTCTTCACATGTTTAATTTTCGTGAAATTTCATGTTGAACAGTTGAAGTTTTGATTTCCAAACGTGTGCAAACGAATCTGGAAATTTCACGAAAAATAGACTTCTGAAAAAGGCAGCACTTTAATTTCTGATTAGCCTATAAAGAGGGCGAGTATGCTTGTAAAGCAAAAATAAACTAAAAACTAAGCCTAAATGTGAAAATCAAAATTTGACAAAATTCGACATGTTTTTGTACATGGTGGAAGTGTGGCCTTTATTTACGAAGGTAGTCCAGTAAATTGGCCACAACAAAAAGCAAGACAAGTGAAAAGTGTAAGTTTTCTTTACAAAATTTTACCTCTATTTATCGACTGTCCGTGACTAAAAATGATGTTATCCAAATTTCTTTGGTCCATTGTTGTTAGATATACGAGATGATGGTCAGCGTTTGCTTGATTAATAAATATGAATGACGATAAATCTTCGGTAATTTATAGAAGTTAGAACCGTGCAAGATCCGTCATATCCGCCGACGTGGGCGCATCCATTTTAGAAAATGCCGCCCTCTACAGTCAAATCTATCGCTAGGGGTGGGGTTTGTAAGAGGGTGGAGTTTGTGAGATGGGTGGGGGTTTACCTGTGGGATTTTTGGAAGTAGTGTCTTCATATCGAGAATGACGTTTTCCTGAATGAAAAGCACAAGAGCTAACAAAAGCAGAAAGAAGTGAAAAGTTCAAATGTGGAAACAACAGGAAAACTAGGACACGCCCCCAATTAGGGACCACTGAATAGCGCCCTCTCTCGCCTTATCTTGATCTTGTACCTAGCTCCATCATGCTCAAAATCAATTACACCAGGATATCTAAACCGCGGAGCCAGCCTAAAAACGTAAATGACGAAAATAAATAATGACATTTCCATACTAGTACATTTGACAACTTCATGAACTTGGCGGAAAGACGAGGACCTCTATGTTTATTAATTATCTTTTTCGACATAAGTAGTATGTAAGTAATTATTGATTCGTGTAGGCCACTTGTGCAGCATTCCATTTGATGTCATCATGACGTCAGAGAGCGATTCCGATGAGTTTTACGATGCAGAAGATGCGGAACTTTCGCAAGCTCCCGGCTCGAGCCCGGCCAGGTGGGTTTATCATTTATTTAATTATTTAGGGCCTACCTAGATTTTTATATAATGTTCCTAACTTACCCAACATGCCCAAGCATAGCACATTTCGTTTGATAAAAAAAATGGAAATTTAAGTGATTTTTAAATTTAATTTAGGCCCTGATTTTTTTGGGGGAAAAATGTTGCAACCTGAACATGCTGAAGTGACGCTACTTTTTTCTTCATATATCGTCTCAATGAAAATGAAGGTCAGTCTTTGCAAAAATGATGATAAGACATGAATCTGGGACTGAGATTGAGAAACATTTCCAAGTTTGTTTGGAAATACTTAGACAATTTTCTTGACTCTCCATAGACTTTGTACACAACTGCTGAAGTGGTGTCAGGTTGCAACATTTTTTTCCTTTTTTTAATTGCATTTTTAGCCTAGCCCAAAGTTTTAATTTTCGAAGTGGCTATCGTTACGGCACTCGTTGTTTAGCGCCCTCTACGATATTTTTTTGATACGCCCGCGGGTATATAATTATTTGTTTCCCCACGTTTTATCGAGCAGTGCGCCAGCTCAGCCGATAGAGGGTAGGATTTTGCACCGCGAGGTTGCGGGTTCGAATCTCAGTTTTGCACTCAATTTTTTTTCCTTTTCTAACCTGAGGCTTTGGAGGATTTTTTTTAAAAGGGAAATAAAGTCCGAATTGCATAAAGTTCAAATTCACTTTTTTCCTTCTAATTTTATATTTTCTTGTCATGTTTTTTTATAAAAGTTGCCAGGTTGCAGTCTACCGTAACGATAGAAAATGGGAAATGCGTTACGGCTGCCGTAACAATAGCCACTGCGTTTAATTTTTAATTTGTATTTATTTATTTTTCTTTGGGGGAGGAGGGGACGGATGATTTGGCAACATGGCTTGAGGATGCATTGAAGACATCAGTTTTTATCTTCATGTTGGATTTTATAGAAAGGCCAAGAAGCCGGCTGCAATCTCCGAGTTTGAGGAAGAACTTCACCGTCTGGCCAAGGAGCGACGGTTGGCGGAGGAACGCAGGAAGCAGGAAGAGGAGGCCCTCCAGAGGAAGATAGAAGAGATCCAAGCCAAGAAACAAGAGGAGGAACAAAAAGAAAGACAGGTAGGAGAGCCTTCTCTGCGCAAACTAAAGAGGGCGCTATTTAGTATTATGACAGTTGCGATGAGAGGATTAGCTTCCTTATCCTGCATAAGAAAGCACCTAATCTTCATAGACGTTTGCATTTTGAAATGAAGTTCTTAGATTTTGAATCATCATGAATACATTAAGCATTTTAGTGCATAAGAACATCAACTTCTTTACTCAATCCAGTAGTATGTTTGTCTACAATTTTTACTTCCATGGCGTTAAAATGAAATATTAAACATACCGTTTTTTGTTTTCTTTTGTTTTTTTGGTTATAACAGCGTCTCTTGGAGGAGCAAAGAAAGAGAGAGAAGCAGAGAGAGGAAGAAGAAAGACGCAAACAGGAGGAGGAAGAGCGATTACTGGAACAGCAGGAGGCCGAACAGCGGAGAATTGAAGCAGAGAAGAGACGCAAGCGCTTGGAAGAGATGCGAATGCGGGAAGACCGGGCCGGACACAGCAGCAGGTTGCCATCATCTGGAGACCAAGACCCATCCAAAGATGTCTCAAAACCTTCCCTGGGTGGATCAGAGACGGGCACCTCAGTGGACGAAACATCAAACCAACAAACAGCCAGCCCCCAAGACGATGATGTTCGGGAACCGGGGCTAGCCAATCGGAACGTCCAGCCCGACGTGATCGCCAGCATTAGGGAGAGGCCATCTGCATTGCCCATAGGGTCTGGGTCGCAAGGTGACATGGCCCCACCCGTTGCTCCGCCCAGGAAGAAGAAGAAACCAAAGTCTACGGAAACTCCAACACCGGAAATAAAGGATCTACAGGCTAAGGCGGAAATGGTGAGTACCAGAAGTGAGTGGTGAGTGTTGAGTAGTAATATAATAATTTGGGAGGCTAATCATCCTTACTGGCAGCTGGGATGCTGAATTGCGAAGGACGCGGCTACAACGTGGTCGGGCCGCTGGCACGTAAAGGCGCCTGTGGCTGCCGGCCACATCGACCCATGACCACGGAGCACAGCCTGAGATCAAAAGTGTTTGATTTTTCAAGTGTTGAGTAATAAGTGGTGAGTGTTGACTGGTAAAAGTGTTGAGTGCTGAATTCAAAACTCAACTCAAATCTCAGTCACTCTTTGTTTCCTTTGTGAACATTTGCCATTATATAAGACTGACAAGAGCATCAATACGGAGGTTAAAGTTTGTGAAATTGACCTCCAAATCGGAGCCACAGGTGTTCAGGTTTCGAGGCAGTTTTGTAGTTGAGTTCATTTCCAAGTCCAACAAGTATGTCTTACTGTCTTGCAACATTCCTTATTGTACAGTTATACCAACCAATTCTTTGATGTCTTCTTTACATTCTTGATACTCTAGACAGCAGAAACACCAGCAAGCCATAAGGAGGCGGCATCGGTCGGTTTGCCCCCCGAGCCCAGCTCGTCTGGACGACCACTGAGTGGTCTCCTGACGCCAACAACCACGATCGAATCGTTGACCAAGGAGTTGGAGCATTCCCTGGACCTGGCCAGTGCCACCAGTGATGCCGTCGTCTTGCATTTGGTGAGTCTTGCCATTCGGCCATACACTTGAGCAAGTTGGATCAAGTTGGAGCAGAAGCAGTCGTTTAACCTAAGGTATGATCACTCCTTGTTTTTGTAACAGGAAACGCAGAGCATCAAGGGTGAGTCCCGGGCCGAGGTCTTGGAAGCCTTGAAGACGCCCTCCGGTCCTCCTCCCCCGAAGCCGCCTCGGAGCCGAGGTGGAACCCCGCCCACTGAGGGGAAGGGAAGCAAAGGGGGCACCCCGGAGACAGACGTGCTGGCCCAGTATTCCGCCTTGATGAAAGGACGATCAGCAAAAGGGGAACTGCTTACAGATGAAGTGAGTACTAGGTCCAAATGTCCCAGACCTGCTCAGCAGAAAATATAGCTTAGCAAAATTAGGTTTTAGCAAAAAAATCTGCAAAAATCAGCTGAAGTTGTGGCTTGTAACCGGTTGGTACTGAACAAATTATCTCCGAGCTTACATGTGAACAAGGTACAACTACAAGTGTGACCTCTGTCATGTCTTCTTGTTCAAGATAGCCAGAAAAAAATTTGGCCCAGCTTTCAATAGGTCAATTTGTGATACGTGTGCTGTTCTACTCTTGCTGATACATCACTGTTCAGCCAATCAAGAAAAAACTGAGGCCATTTGGGCCAGAAGCGATTGAAAATGTTTCAATTCCTTTTTTTTTCTTGAACTGTTTTTGTCCACCTCAGGAGATACTCTCTCAGGTGACAGTCAGAAACCTGGACACAGGAGACACAGTTCCCCTCTTATTGGCTGAGGAAAGCTTACCCCAGTGTATCAACCCGCTGGCTCTGCACATTATGAGACTGACCTCCGAGTATGTCAGGTGTGTGCTGCTAAAGCTATCCAGTTTATAATGCTTGATATAATGTGTGACGCCATGCCAGTATCTGCTCTGTTCACAAGCACCCCCTCACCGGCAAAGGAAGTACAGTTGGGGGTGACCGACCGACGCCATCTTGCCTGACTGCAATTCACTTGCCCGCGGCCACTGCGTGTAAATAATACAAATCCCCTGGTGTATGTGCGTCACACACAAGGAACGGTGCGCGTCAACCAGCGAAATGTCCCGCCCATGGAACGTCGTTGTTAGGTGAAAGGGCGCCCTCTTTTGGTAGCGCACGGAGCTCATTAGCTGCACCCGATTTCATGAAGCACTGCGACGCATCTTAACTCAAGTTGCCACGCGTAACACGTTGCAACTTCCAACGCGTTGTATGATCTATTTCACAAAACTTACAATGAGTTGAACGCGTCGTAAGTTCCTTGTCAACGGCTTAAAACACGTGGCAAGTTACGATGTGTCTAGTTGTAGATGTCTCATGAAACCGGGTGCAGGGCTGGTAGCGTTGGTACAACCGACTGCACCAGGCAATCTTTTGCATGCAGTAGCTTTTTGGCACGCTCCAGATTGGAATGGCTGTTAGATGTCCAATTTTGACGTTGGTTGAAAAACTGCTTTCACAGTGCACCTGCTGTAGATAATGCCATTCAATGATTTACCTGTCCTTCGTTAATTTCATGTAAGACCAGTTTTGCTCCTTACTCTGACCTTTTGCTTTTGTGCATTGCCTAAAGTGGTCTCTGTTTTAACCCTAACTGCCCAGAATCCTTCAAAATCCTCTTTGCCAAAGTGGAGGAATTTGGAGGATTGAGGTTATGGCAAAAGTGCGTTACTGATTTCGTAGGATGCACTTTGTCAAGGTCTTGGGCCGGACCTTGTGTTGTTTTAGCTCAGCCATGCATAAATATAGGCCTAGATTATGCTTGAAATCCTCCGTACTGCTCCAGGATGTCACTGGCCAAGCCTCAACATACTGACAGTCACTGCCGCAGGATTTTACAGGATTCAGGCAGTGGTCACCCCTCCACGGACCATATTCAAGAAATAATGGAGGAATTTGCAGGATTGAGGCTATAATGCTATTTTTCCATTGGGCCAGTTGGAGGATTTTGCAGGATTAAGGCTACATCCTAGCAAAAAGGCCTAGGGAGTTAGGGTTAATAATCCTAACCACCCCAAACCCTTCAAAATCCAACTGCATGTCTTATTTGAATCTGTTGGAGTGAGTACTGCACTAGTAAAGTGATTAAGCTGTACATGGGCTCAGACATACCACCATAAACAAGTGTCTAACAGTTTGGGTGTTGAGTTTACCATCATTGGATTCTGCAAGAGTGAGGAAGGTTCCTGGTAAATCACTCAAGGGGGTTGGGGTTACGTCATCTCTTCTGGTGCTCAGAATTTTGAATTGCCGCTCTTACTGTACAAGGTAGACGTTTAATCAATCTGTTCTGTTCCTGATTGTTCACAGTAATTCTAGTCTTGACAAGGAGGGTGGTAGCGACGGAGAGAAGACGAAAGCAGCCGCCCAAGGAGTCAAGAAATCCAAATCGAAGAGGTAAGTGTTGACCAAATGTCCTCTCTGGTAGATGTAAACACTACTTCTGATTAAGGGAGTAAATGTGTGTTTGGGAGGTATTATAACACTCTGTTTAAGACCGGTGGGAGTCTGGATGGGTGATTCGCCTCGGGTAATGATCGACCATCCAGACTCCCACCGGTCTTAAACAGAGTGTTTAATACCGACCGAACACATATTTATTCCCATTCATAAATACCTTTTCGGTCAAAAAAACAGACCTTTTTGGTCAAAAAATCAAAACAAGTCAAAAACTAGATGTTGCCAACCATTTTGTTCAACAATTTTACTTCAAGTTTGACAAAACACCTCTCTGACTATGATATGGAATGCCCCTCCACAACTCGTTACCTTATAAGGACATTGGCGTGCACGTCGTGTGTACTGCGCGATGTCGCGCAAAACACAGCTGGGCTGGTGTAGTGTGAATTTATGAAATGCTGATTCACTGGTAGTATTGCGCATGCATACGTGAGGAATGTGAAAGTTCAACCAATGAAACGTTAAAAGGCACCGGATTTCATGGAAGTCCAAATAAATTTCATGTGACACTGGAAAAGTGTTTAAGACCAGCTAGCCATGTCTTTATCATCCGTTTAAGACCGGCCACGTGACGGGCTCTCGGCCAATAGGAATGTGTAAACTGTCTTAGGTATTTATGAATATCCATTAAAACCAATCAAATGCAGTACACCATCTAGTAAACATCAAAGTCCAGCAATAGGGGCCAATTTCATAGCGCAGTCAAGTAGAAAATTTTGCTTTGTAAAAATTTATGTTCTGAGTAAAAATCGGCAGTGAACCGGTGGAAGTCAGTGTAAATTACATGATGTTTTAGCTGGTAATCTGTGTTTTGAGAAGCAAACCTTTTGGACGCTCAGCAGAGGCATAACAATTTTAACAATTGTTTATATTTTTTGTAGAGTAATTTTTAACTGGTTTATTATTTTGGATAAAGCCATGTTTTTAGAGATAGTTAGACAAAGTGTACTCAAGTAGATGTATACATGTTATAAGACATTTTCTTTTACACATGTTCATGCATTTAGTGAATTGTCCACAATTTTGAGAGTATTTTTTAATGGATTCAGGACACTACAGCCTGGCCACTGTTTCAGTTCCCAATTGTTTTTTTTTTTAGCAAAAAAGTACCTTTTGTCAATTTTTTGTCGCTCTCATTAGAAGGACGTTTAAGAAAATGCTGTCCAAGCTCAAGAATGTCGCAGATGAGGCTTTCAGACATGAAGAGCAGGAATCCAGCGACGAGGAATCGCTGCCGGATTCAAGAATCGTGAAGGTTTGAATTCCACAAATTAAACTTTGTACATATTTGTAGTCCCTGAGTACCATTGTACTACGCAGTGTTTCCTCTGCCCATTCAAACGTGAAGTGGCCCACCTTGCAACTTTCAGTGACCACCTCGCTACAATTTTGCCAATGTCACCACCTCGCTGTGAAGATTTGCAATAAAGGAAATACTAATTTATGAGCGTTTTCCTTGACCTCTATGTATCAAGAACTCACAATTTGGATGTGTAGATGGAATTATCGCGACTTTTTGTGAGCGCTGCACCCTTTTAAGTTTTCAGACTGCGTAAATTTTGTTTCAGTCATCAATTTGAATTTTTACCAGCTCGCTCAGTTCATTAAGCAGGGGAAACACTGGTACTACAGGTATAACTAATAACGGCTACCATTTTCCAAAACCTTAGCGTTGCCCTGGGTTCATCTTTTGCTGAATAATTTTTAAATTTTAATGTTCAAGCCGAAGGGATATTCTCCAGCTAAACTCTCCTCAAGACAACGCCAAAGACACGACCTGGGTTTGGGCCACATCTGTATTGTCCAATTGACTTATTAATAACACAAGACTCAGCAGAAGGATTTCAAGGTTTTTTGTTGTTGTTTGTTTTTAATATTCTGCGCAGATGAAAGCTGCGAGCAGTAACAAGGGCCCCTATGACTTTGACCAGCTGAGACTGGCTCAGGACCTGGGCCGAGAGCATGCTGGGGCAGTGTGGACCATGAAATTCTCGCCTTGTGGTCGCTTACTGGTAAGAATAACACAGTTGGTCGACTGCATACTGATTCATACTTCAAGTAAATGTTGTAGTACAGGTACATTGTTTTCTATGTGTGTCTCTCCGGTTGGACTTCTTGTGAATAGTCGTTAAAGCCAGAGTCCATCATTTGCAGCTGTCCAAAAAGAAACTGGCGTAATTATTGTTGAACAACATACTTGGTTAAAAGATAGTAAGGGGACTAAACTCCCTGTGAAATTATTCTTTCTGGCAAGCTGTCATTTTGAAGAAATCAACAAAAGAAGGCCTTTCCAACGGTGCGTCTTAAGAAGCACCATTGGAAATTTCCGTTAGTAGTTTGTTGTTTTATTCGGCGAAGCGCGCGCAAGCGTTGACACGATGCACACGCACGCGCAGTTGCTATGATTCGTCGTATCAGTGCGCGACATCGCATAGCTGCAATCGGCTCAGTGAGAACGTGTCTCGGACGCTGAATTCAGGCCCAATTCAAAACATGATTCAGCAACTTTTGATTTGAAATTGAGATCCTAGAATGCTGTTTTTCTCGGAATATACAGCTGAAGCTGAGCTGAAACTTCATCAGGTTAGTTGTTCAGCACCCTTCTTTAGATTTTGAGCACTTTTGTTGCTTCAAACGAACAAAATGCACAAATTACAAATGATGGACTATACCTTTAATACACCAGCAACCAACAGTAACTGGACTGTGCAGTTGGGTGGTTTAAATTTAATGATGACATAAGGTTTCTTTTCATCTTGGTTGCCTAGGCAACGGCTGGTCAGGACAGGATCTTACGTGTCTGGGTTCTCCAGGATCACTATAAGTACTTTGATGACATGAGGCAGCGCTATAGCAACGAGGCAAGGGAGCAGGCACAAGAGGGCAGCAACTCTGAAAAGGTACGTCGACGGTTAAAAAAAATACGAGACTTATGAAGATCATAATTTGTCTGTATAGAGTGGACAGTGATTTTTCACAATTTCTTTTTCATCTCAGGATTCGTCTTCGGACCCGGAGAGGGAGCGGTCGGGATCAGAGGATGCGGCAGAAGAGCCACAAGACACCAAGAAGGAGGCGGAAGCCCCTCCCCCAGGGGGTGACGGTCAGCCGGACACACCCATCAGAGAGAGCGCCCTCGACGACGAGATGGCCGTCTTTGCCAGGTCGCCGTTCTTTGAGTACTCCGGTCACACGGCTGATGTGCTGGATGTCTCATGGTCCAAGGTAAAAACTCATCTCTTTTAGATCAAATTTCTTGACAGAAAGAATCCCTTTTTCAAATTGATGTGCTGCAGCAAAATTAGCAGAGTACCAGTCACAGGCAATATGCATTGCATGACATTTTGGCAGGTTACCCGTTTTTTGCTAGCTCAGTGCATATTTTCTGTGCGAGACATGGAGCTACATATATATTAAGTTACAGACATTTGAATTCATGTGCTTGTTCGTGGAACATAATAAAATCACACGGAATGGATGGTGAATAATGTACTCTAAATGCAACGCGCAAGTGCAACACTGTAAGTACGTTTTCTGTGAGTATTAAAGTTAAAAACGTTACGGCAAAAATCAATCTGCAGCGCCTACAGGCACACGTCTGTGTTTGCGTAAGTTTGTGCGCACGTCTGCGTTTGCGTAAGTTTGCGCGGAGCTAAATGAAATGTTCATTTACTAATTATGAGTTTCAGTTTTTAGGCATATCGGCTTTGATAACGCACTGGTATACAACACAAACGCAGTACTAAAGCCGCACTAAATTTTGAGTTTTCCATAGGTTTGCGAACAAACATAGATCTGCACCCAGCAGGCTTCACTTTGTACAGCGAGTTAGCGCTCTAGTAATTTAACATAGCTGTATGCTGCCAGGCATATCCGTGAAATATCCCCTGGTTTCCAATAAGAACAGATATTACTCCCATTTGCACACTCTAAGCAATTTGAGTTTTTTAGACCCTCCTTATAACCGTGGAGGCGATTCATCTGTTGCAATTTCAGAACTACTTCATCCTGTCATCTTCCATGGATAAGACGGTGCGGCTGTGGCACATCTCACGCAGCGAGTGCCTCTGTTGCTTCCAGCACATTGACTTCGTCACCGCGATTGCTTTCCACCCAAGGGTGAGTAACACATTTGTTTCAAAGATCCTTCAGGGCCCAATATTGGGCCCAGTGTACCATAATCCAAGAACCATATTAACTAGGGATTCTGCTTGTGAATAGAAGATGGAACTTTTTGACCAATCGAAAGTTGGTGTGTGGGACACAGTACATGCTTATCTGCTCCGTTCACAAGTACCCCCTCACTGGCAAAGAAAGTACAGTTGGGGGTGACTGGCCAACGCCAATTTGCCCGACTACAATTCGTTTGCCGCGAAGCGCGGCCGTACATACCACTGCGTGTACAGAGTACAAATCCCCTGGTGTACGTGCATCACACACATTGGAACGGTGCGCGTCAACCAGCGAAATGTCCCGCCCATGGAACGTCGTTGATAGTTAGAAGGGCGCCCTCTTTTGTTGGCGCACGGAGCCCAAACTAGTTTCATAACATCTCACAAGAGAGTTTTGCATCATCAAACTCATTTTTCACGAGTCAAGGAACATCTCACTTCTGTCTCCGTAGGATGATCGTTATTTCCTGAGTGGTTCGCTGGACGGCAAGCTTCGACTGTGGAACATTCCAGACAAGAAGGTTGCCCTGTGGAACGAGGTGGACGGACCCACCAAACTCATCACGGCGGCCAACTTTATTCAGAACGGTCGGTTCTCCGTCGTGGGCACCTACGACGGGAGATGCATCTTCTACGATACCGAGGTAGAGAAATGCACCCAAGGAGTTGTGCAAGAAGTTCATATGAATACCATGATCCGAGAGTTTGCTGGACAATTATTTAATCCTTGCGGCTCTATGCAGTATGGTCCAAGTTGGGATACGAGGCCTGATGGTATATATATTTATGAATGACGTTACTTATATATTTTTTTTATGTTTCCAGCACTTGAAATATTACAGCCAGATTCACGTGCGATCTACCAGAGGGCGTAATGCCGTAGGAAGGAAGATCACAGCCATTGAGCCCCTACCTGGTCAAGATAAGGTAGACCTTTTACTCCTTGTGTATAAAACAAGTATTTCCTCCTCCCCCCTCCCCTTGCCCACCGCCAGTGTCCCTCTCGTCTTTCCCCCAACTTCCACTTCTATACTTAGTGCTGTAGCCCTCGGACACTGTTTTAATCCAACTACTTACAAAAAGGTATCATACCATTTCTCCAACCACCATCTTTCAATATCAGAGGTGTTGCTTTATTGTTTGACATCGTAGCATAGTGCAAGTTATAAGATTATAATAATAACATCTTTATTCTACAGACTTCAACAAAGAGGTTCCAGATTTAAAAATTGCATTGCTGAAATTACATAACCTGCCCTGGAGACTGATATCCAGAGGAGAAGTGTTATGTATTTTCAATTGTTTTTTGTGTGTGAAGATTTTGGTGACTTCCAATGACTCCCGGCTCAGGCTGTATGACCTGCGTGACCTCTCGCTGACCTGCAAGTACAAAGGTTGCACCAACATCAGCAGTCAGATCAGAGCCTCCTTCAGGTAAGCTTCTTGTGTTCTTCTTCTTGTTCTTCTTCTTGTTCGTGTTCTTGTTCTTGTTCTTGTTCTTCTTCTTTTTCTAATTCTCCTTCGTCTTCTTCTTTGTCTTCTTCGTCTTCTTCTTCTTCGTCTCCTTCTTCGTCTTCTTCTTCTTCCAGATATAGTGCAGGCTTCATAAATGAAGACAAACGCACTGTGGGTTGGATGCGCGGAGTCATAATATGTACGCAGGGAGTGTCATGGCCTAGCGGTTAAGAGCACCGGACTCATGCTCTAGTGTTTCAGAGGCAGCAGTGGCGTGGGTTCGAGCCCGGGTCTGGACACTTGTGCCCTTAAGCAAGGCACTTAACCATTATTGCTTCGTCCTTCTGATGGGACGTAAAGCCGTATGTCCCGTGTGTTATGTAATGTAATGCACGTAAAAGAACCCAGTGACACTTATCGCTAAGAGAAGAGAAGGGGTTTGCCCTGGTGTTTCTGGCCTCCTGTTAAAACTCCCACGATGAGTATTTAGGAGAAGAACCAACCAAGAACAAACACAAATCTTGTGCATTATATATATGCAGTGAAGTGTGGTTAAAAAGTTGTCTGCATGCTAGATTGTGGCTTCCCTCAATGCCACCTTGAAGGCATCGAGTGTTGCGAAGTCATTAGGATCCTTCTTTTAGGGAGTTCCATTCCTTGCTGGTAGGAGGGAAGAAGGAGGAACCTGAAAACTGTAGAAGTAAGTCCAAAAACGAGAGCCACGACCTTTGGTATTGGATGAAGCTTCAATGAGATGTTGTTTCCATCTTCCATCAGATCATAGTGGTTTCTGTAGAGTGTGGCTAGGCAGCTTTTGCAGCGTCTGCTCTGTAGAGAAGGCCATTGTAACTCGTGTGTCTCTAAAAGTTTAACCTTTTGTGAATGTTGACTATCATGTGAAGTTGAAAGGCAGTCACTTGTTTCTCAGGTTTCAATCAGTTGTGGGAGTTTTAAAAGGTCTGCACCCAAAATGTACCTTTTGGTGTGAAACTTCTGTACATGTAATAATGAAAAATTAAAATGACTTGCTTTGCAGCCATAACTATCGGTACATCGTCTGTGGATCAGAAGATCACTGCATCTACATCTGGAAGACCAACTATGACTTTGCTAAATTCACTTCGGTGCGCAAAGACCGCAACGACTTCTGGGAAGCAATCAAAGGTAAAAGCCATTGGTTCAAGACTTTACTTTGCGAAATCATCTTGGTTTCAGCAGACTTTTTCCCCAATTAGTAAAATTGCCAAAGACAAGCTGCCAATATTCCAAGATGTGGTGGACGTGTTTTGAATGGAGCAACTCAGAACTCAGAAAATTAAAAGGGAAGATTTCTTAACTCTGAACTCCTTGAGGTAAGGCCTAAAAAGCATGTTGATACCAAGCAGTATACCAAATAAAAATTTTAAAAATGAAACGGAAAAGTGGATAAAATATCACTTTATTTGGTGCCAATTCTCTCTCTTAGCAAGCCTAGACCATTTGAATCATGAATATTATTCGTACTTTCCATATCAGCTCACAACGTCGTCGTCACCACGGCGGTTTTCTCACCCCAGCCCTCGCTAGTCGTCAAGCCGACAGATGCAGACAAGCCCCCCTCCTCCTCGGACGCTGCTGCCCTGCCCATCTCATCAGACTCCAAGGAGAGCCCTACCACCAGGGCCAAGCGCGAGATCATCCAGGGCAAGGTGGAGACCAAGGCGGAGAAGAAGAGCTCGCTGAAGCGTGTCCTGGATCAAGGCGAGCTGCTGGTGTCTGGCGACTTCAACGGTGCCATAAAAGTCTTCATCAGAAGACCCAAACTTTAAAGGTTTACAGAAAATGCAAACATTTTTTATCTACAGAATGATTCTGAAGCTATCATAATGAACGAATGCTAAAGCCACCATTTATTATTCCCCTACCATGAATCGAATACATGGTAAGAAATGATGCCTCGCAGTATTTTTCAAATGGTGGATTTGTCACTTTGGGGGAAGTTAAAAGCAGTTCTGTGGAACGTCGCTAAACTGAACACCGCTGTACCGAACATTCGGCTATATACCGAATACTGTCTTCGGCTCCCGTATCGAACATATCATATCATAAAATACCAACAGAAGAGTGACAAGTGGCTATTATTTCCTCAAGGAATAGAAGGGGAAAGCCACCTATTGCTGTAGGTAGTAAGCTAAAAAAACTGTGTCATTACATAGTGTTATTCAGTAGTCGGCACTTGTTCAAAGTCATCTTTCAGTAACTACCAGGGTGTACAGCCTGAAGTTCTGAAGGGCGCCATTTATTGAAAAGTGAGTACCGGAGCACTGGCAGCTTAAAATCGCTACACCAAACGATCACTATTACGAACAATTTCTGTGGATCCCGCGATGGTCGTTATAGCTGCGTTCCACTGTATTGAGCTTATCCACAACAGACAAACTTGAGGCTGTCATCGCAAGTATTTTGAGAACTTAAAACAGTGTTGGAATAAACACAATACAAACACGTTTTGGTGTTGAGTTGGTTTGTGGGTGAATCAGTCTATGGAACAAATTTGAAACTGGCCATGTTAATTGTGGAGAAAGCTCTTTTGGGTATGGAATGAAATGTATGTAAGGCCAAATAAAAAAGGCTCCGGTTTCTGGTATGGAGCTTGCCCAAAAAGTGGTGCGGCGACGCGGCTTTTTTTTTTTTTTACCTGATTTTTTTGCTTCAAATGTCGGCTGATGACTGCAAATGGTGCCCGACTAAACTTAGTGCAAATATATGGGAGTCCAGAGAGGCCACATAAAGCTTATTCTCGACCATAACCCAATCTAAAAACACGTTAAAATTGTACAGCAGCAGGATTCCAGTCAAACCAGTGAGTTTGGCGGTTTTGAGACATCATCTTTCATTGAAAAAAAAACACTTTTTCATTTTGCCGACGCGCATGGCTACGGCGACGCGCGCGCATACCAGAAACCGGAGACTTTTTTGGGGGGCCTAATGTAAAGCCTTCAAATCTCAATGTAAAATCTATTACATGTATAATGTATGGACCATTGCTATGAAAGCTCTTAAGCACTGGAGGGATAAATTAATTCTTTGGAAGGTTGATTCGGCAATGTATAATTAAAAAAACAATTAGAATATGGACTTTCTGATGAAGATAAAGCATTTAGAGATGTGCAAGTTGCGCAACCTCAACCTGTAATTGATGTATATACATGTAAGATTTTTTAATGCCTGTATATTCGATCGGAAAATAACGTTGTTCAAATAAATGCATTGTCAATTTCTATATGTGCATGCTATCTTACAACTACCTTATCAATCAAATTCTACCGAAAGCCCAAACACTATTATTTATTTGGTCTATACTTCAAGCAACTATCAGTGCGAGTGCGATTTTTTTTTAGGGGAACAGCGAACGTCAATGAAATGCTTTTTGTGGAGCGGTTAACACATCAACGAAGCAATCCTTTGATAGCCTCGACACTTTGTATTTACTTTGTTGCAGTACTATTCCGTTGTATCGGTGACGATTTCATAGCCAAACTTAGCCCAGGTTGGACGACGTCTTCATTGCATTACGACTGTAATTTGTACCTTTTTTGGTAGTACATGTATTACTGGCCTTTAAAATTTGGCTCGACTTCATTATGAAACCCAACATGAGATTTTTTATAAGAAAAGCTAGACAAATTTTACCACTTGTCCTTGTTTATTTTGAGGACTTAGTGTCCAGCAATTATTTCACCCATCAACAAAACAAAGTAGCAAAACGTTGTACTCATTATGTAACACATTTTGATAATAGAACACATTCATCTATATATGATGATGTATAATTGTAGTTTTATTTAGATGGTTTCGTTTAACCATAAGATAAATTTGTTGAATGCCAGTATAATGATGCTCCGTTTTGAAACAGAAATTCTTCCATATTTATATTATCAGTACATGTACGCCATTAATTTCTAAAAAGTGATGCGACGATTATTCCGCTGATATCTAGGTGATGCAAAAAAAAAAAAGGATTTCTTGTATGCTGTCATTTGAATTTCATGTCAATTTTTTTGTATTTAAAGGTGCTTTAAAGTTTTGTCTATCAGTTCTGTAACAGATATTGCTGTATGTTGATTCCGCATTACAGAAAACAAAACATACTGATTTGTAAATTGTAGATAATTGGCAGCAATCCAGAGAATGTACATACTTCCAATAATAAAGAGAAAATCAGCAATCTGCAAAAAAAAGACAACACAACTTGAATACCTGAGTTTGTTTATTCACGGAACAAATTTTGATAAGCTTTGAAATGCAGATTTCGAAGCTGTCCTGAAACCTATTTTTTTAAAGGGTTTTTAGTCTGGTACTTTTCCTTACACTTGGGCACTCTTTAGCAGTGGTCTACATTGCTTGATGTTAACCAAGTACCGAGATACGAGGGTAAACTAAAAAATATTGACATAGGAACCAGCCTACTTGTAAAAAATCAGTAATCCTGACAACCAGGAATGTGCAATCGTCGTTTAAATTAATTTGAGTAGTAGTATCAATCTTTCATGAAACAAAGCATACAAAAACATGCATAAATGTCTAGATTACTACATGCAATTTGTCACTTCTGATGATTAAGAATTGTCGGGAAAAAGTGTCATTTTTTTATCTTGATTAATTTGGGATCGATCACCGAGTGTAGGAAACAATACTTCAAATTAAATTGCATAACAATCAAATGAAAAGCCATGATACTTGCAACTTAACTTTAGAGCATGAAATGTAACTTTTTTTCAATCAAAAATTTGGACAATAGTCATCTGTCTTTAAATGATTAGTAATTATGCAATTTGTGAATCTAAGGAGCATCACACAGAGAATGATTTGAAATTGATTACCACATCTAAACACAAGTTGGCACATACATTCGTGACTCCTGAATTTCTATACGCCTGAGGACAATGCTTTGTCTCTTTGTCCCTGTAATATAACACTTTCCCATAGACTAAGCATATATAGCCCTACGATCGAGGACTGTTTTCAACAAAAGACCCAACGCTCGAGGACTGAAAGGATATTTTCTTCTCCCTTTGTGTGTCTGTCCTCTATCTTAAAGCTATACATGCACTGCTTCGCAGGCAATATCAACTAACTATCAAGTACACAGATAAGGTTGAATTGAACTTAACAGTGAAACTGCATTTCACCATGGAGTTAAATTTGTTAACTTATAACAACCACCAACTAAACCAAGTCCAGTGTAGTTAACATAGTCAAACTACAGTTAACCATAGTTAAAACGATGGTTACGACCATCACATAATCTGAGGTTTTTTAAACTGAATTTCCGTACAAGTTCACGTCACTGTACACAGTCTATCTGAATGATCTTTCTATATCACACAAACGTACAATTCCGAAGGATTTTCTGGGCACAATAAACATTACATCCCATCTCACTTGCAGTTCAAATTCCACCCCTCTGACCAGCATGTTACATTCCAGATGTTGTGTGATCCCATAGGTGACGTTTGAACCTTCTGGCTGTTCCATTCAGTCACAGGGGTGGTCTTGAGGATGATGGTGCTGATAATGTCCAGCCTTTGTTATGTCAAGTCATCATCATCAAAGAGATCATCAAAATCTGTGGTCAAGTACAAAATGCAAACACAATTTGTTAAAAAGAAAATAAGTGAAACAGGAACAATGTATTTGACTTAAAGGGCATATACATGTACATCATTTGCTTTTACTGTAATTTTCAGAAATGGATGGAATTGGGGGGTTGGAAATATATAGCAAATATAGTTACACTGACTTTTTTGAGGTTTTGGGTTCGAAAATGCTATAAAAACCAAGAAAAACAATAATTTTCCTGTAGTCTGGTTCCCTGACTCCATATAAGAAGAAACAGAGCAGTTTACATACATTGGGGAATTGTAAGGTCAGGAAACCAGTCTAGCTGGCTTGTACCCATTCATAGGTGTGTAATCGATTGCAAACAAGTGCGATGGTCAATTGGGGCCAGTATTTGAAAAAAAGCCAGTTTTTTCCAACGCTGGTCGGCCGACCAGCGTTGGAAATTGATACAAAAATACCACTTTTCTTGAAAATGACAGTATACCAGGTGCCATGATTTTACAGGATGCTTTACACTGTCATTCACTAACAGTCCAGCAAGGTATTTCAAAATGGTAGTTTTATTTTTTGATGTTTGCAAATGTTGTATTTTCCCTTTAATTTTTACTATAATCTTGAAGGCAGTGGCACTATCCATATCATAACCAATTTGCCCCTATTTGGTTTTTTGTTTTTGTCTCCACCACAGCCTCCGCCCATTTCCGTTTCATTTTGCCACAATGCCCAACAATTTTCCCTTCCCTGTTCCACGCTCAGGATCCACGTACCATTGAAGAAATCACTGTGCACAGCCTTTTCATTTGCAGCCAAATCCATGAGAAGTCCTGCTGTCCCTCCAGCCTGAAAACGCCATCAGACAAAAGCAAAACATCACATCAAACAGTTCCACAAAATTGTCTACGTACACAACGAGGTACATCATGTATTAAAATTTCAGCATTCATTCAAAAGATTAAGTAAAATTAAGTAAAATACACGTTGAATATCAACCATGACAGCTACATGTACAACTAGTTGATTTAGTGATGAAGACTTTCGTCTAGTAATGGACATAGACAATGATAGAAGTGACATCATGGCGACATAAAGGTTTTCCCTATTCCTAATTTTTTTTAATGAATGTTACAACCTGATGCCATTGGTTTTTTTTCATAACAATGAAGGTAACTCATTGGTCATATTGGTATTGCAAAAAATGTTGAAACGACATGAATCTGGGACAGAGAAAAATTTGCAATTTTCTCAAGAAATACTTTGAAATTGTTCTCAGACTTTCATGACTTTGTAGTTGTACACTCCATCCTCAACTATACTCTACAGACATTGTACTCCTAGAACTATGAGGCTCCGCGTGAGCGGAGCCTCATAGATCAAGAAGCCCGCAAAATTGCCTGCAGCACAAAACACTAATAAAGTACAAAAACGTCCATCAAAATGCAGCCATTTCACACAGAACCGCTGCACAGTTTGCCCCTATTCTCCGTACTTTATCTCTTGACATACTCACGTATCTTGTGCGGAACTAACATGGGTGGATTCTGTCGGTTTTTAGGCCAAAATGATGAAAAATATGCCCTTTCCGCACTGAGCCAACCTGACACTTGAAACGTGCACACATATGATCGAGCGATGATTTTCGGTTCGCTCGGAGCGCGCCATGGGGGGTACGGTACATGCACTTGTACGCATGCACATACTATCATTTCGCTTGTACCGTACCCCCCGCGGCGCGCTCCAAGCGAACCGAAAATCATCGCTCGATCATATGCGTGCACGTTTCAAGTGTCAGGTTGGCTCAGTGCGGAAAGGGCATATTTTTCATCATTTTGGCCTAAAAACCGACAGAATCCACCCATGTTACTTGTTAGTTCCGCACAAGA